GTAGGCGGCCCAGCCAGCTGGCTTTTGCCGCCAGAACTGAATAGGCCAAAGAATGAAGACATCTTGCATCCGACACCTCAGAAAACTATGGCTTCATTGTTTAAAAATGACGATCAAGTCCATTCTGGCACTCATTCCCCTCAGAATGTGATTTTTGGAAGCCTCCATAATGGCAGGACCGTTAATAGTTCTGTGTCTGGTGGTCCTGATTGTTCGTGGTTGCCTAAAACATTTATTGGGCCAATACCTGGGAATGAAGATCAATTTTCTCGTAAGTTTAGGGAAGAAGCTGCTCAGAACAATATGATTTATGGTAGCGCTGGTTGTTCTGCGACTAATCATCAAAATGAGGTGTCTGGAGCTAACTGCTGGGCCAAGTAAGTGTACGAGTCCCTATAAAAAGAAAAAGTAAAAAGAATTTGCTGTCGACACGATACTGTAGCTCTTGCTGTGGTTTCTGTTGAGTGCCTCTGAAATGCTAAAATTTCAGTCTTCTGTTTACATCAGATGGTACCTTTTAAGTTGTAATAACTAACCAAAAAATACATATAAAATGTCACAAGCATTTTAACAGCATTTTTAAGAAGTGGAAGTACTCATTGCTCAATACCTTTTATCCTAGTTTGGCTCTGAATAGGTGCTTGGCTTTGGTGCTGTAAAGGTCTGTCATTGCAGAATATCTTGGATAGATAGGGAACTGGTGTTGTGGTATCTAATCTAAATAATTCGCAGTAAGTTGTGCACATAAAAGAACATGTTGGATGCATTACATTGGAGTACACTTGTGTCTATGTTTAGGGAGTGACAATGGAGGCAGAGGTTTGTATTTGTTTGAGCATTCTCATACCATGCAGTATAGAAAGAGGGTGCATGATCATTAATGCTTTCCAAACTTGAAAACATAAGTTTGCTCTGTCTGTTCTGAACGAATAAGAGAGATTGAATTTATGGAGAAAAGATTGAAAATTGATTATATTGTTAAAATCCAGAAGCATTGGTAATACTCTGTTTGGTTATTGTGTTCAAGAAATTTAAATTTATCTCTGCAATATGCAAAGTCTTTGCACCAAAAAACTGTTGGTGCATGACAGTTTCATAACGAAACTATAGCTATTCAAACTTGTGGGATTTTCCTTCAGTGAGTTTTTTTGGTCACTTAATTCTTGTAAATGGTGAGCATGCCATAGCTGTTTTCTGCCAATTAAAACCATTCCTTGATTGACCATTGTTTTTTTTGCGTTAATATGTAATCTTGCCAGATAACAGTCAAAGGGGTCGATGAAAAGTTGAGGTATAGATGGCATTACAGATGACTAGTTTTTGTAGGAGGTGTTTGAATAAACAGAAACATTAATGTAGCATTTAGATGCCTTTTCTTGAATAGGTAACATACAGTTACAAAAGGAAGAAGAAAAAAAAAAACCTCTGTAAGAAGATACATAAACTGATTTTTAACAACTTTCTTGGAATGCATTTATGATTTAGGTCCAAATACTAATGTAGAAGGTGTAGACATTGGGCAAGAATTAGTAGAACTGAGGATCAGTTGGGTTAAATGGGAAGTGCATCTGGTATATTATGGTCCCTGATTATACCTATTAGAGCAAAAAGAAATTTTACTGCTTCCAAACCTATCACACTTAGATGGAGAATTAGTGATATAGGGTACACCCTATGTGCGTGCAATTTGTAAAAGTTAAAAGATAAGAAGAAATAAGAAAGAGTAGTTGGATGGAAAAGAAGGGGAAGTTATTGGAAGCTGTCTGCAGCAAGTGCATAATTCATTGGTGTAAGGACATTATTTGGAAACATGGATGCCCTTGCTTTAGTAAACTAGCACTTCAAATGTCTAGACGTATTTGTGGTAAATTAATGAAAGTTTAACTTTGGAACAATCATAGAGGCAATTCGGAGGGAACACTTGAGGTGTTCGATGTATTAATGGAGATGTATAAATGCACCTTTAAGAGACTCTTCAATAGGCCATTATGGTGAGGTTGGAAGAGGAGGAAAACCAAATAGTATGCTGAGTGATTTCAAGATGGAGCATGTCAATAAATTGTCCAATGGAATGAAGTAGCTCTAAATCTGGCTGAAGGCAGAGATAGAATAACACCAGTGGCTAGGAGAATTTGTTGTGTTAAAGAGACTTCTGACAGTTATTTAATGCTTGAAAGGAGTTGTTAGGAATATCCAAAGGCTTCCCAGGCTTTTGGTTGATGAAATTGATTGTTTGATTATGGGAACAGAATTTGGGCCAACAATTGTTGGTGAACACTGTTAAAAGCTATCTAGGTTTATTTCTTTACACTTCTGTGCTGTAGGTCACAGAATGAGATTTGGCCATGTTAGGAATAGTTGTCATTGAGAAAGAAACAAGATTTCCTGCCTGCATGTTCACTTTATCTTTTTTTTTAATCAATTATTTTCCCTAACATCATTGTGCCATAATTTTGAGGCTAGGATAGAAAAAGCTGTTATGCATCCGTTTTTACACATTACCTGTGATAATTAAAACTTTCCATATCTTTTTGTAGATTGCAGGTGGAGTTTATTTTCTTTTCTGTTTTGAATGAATCAATGCAATTACGTCAGTCTCGTGCCTTTTCTGGTCTTTCTGTCATAAAAAGATGGTCTAATTTAGTATTGGTATCTCGGAGATAGGGGTGGAGTTTGCTTTAGGTTTCTGCACGTTAGATATATTTGAGCTTGGTTGTTTCCTCTATCATGATTAATTGAGCGTACGTCTGTATGCAGTCCTCTCATGTTTGTTTCCTTTGGTTTTACATATTTCTGTTTTTGTTTTACCTGTGTTCTTAATCCGGAGGCGCTTTAATTTTCTAATTGTTGCTTTTGCAGGAGGGACAGGAATATGCCAGTTTCGGGAATAGGGGTTGGGAACTCATCAGGGACGAAGCCCCATATTGGTGGCCTCTACTCTGCTCCAGATGTACAGTCTTTTTGGTCATATGATTGCGTAAAGGAATAGGGAGATAAGAAAAACACACCTCCTGTTCTAAAAAAGAGGAAAACCGCCTCTTTTTTTATGGAGAGTTTAGAATACCGGACACATTGTATCTTCCTTCTTTTTCTTTAAGGGAGATTTACTTACATCAGCTTGATAGATAGGAATTCCGAGTTGCTCGCATGCAGTGGCAGTCGGGTAATAGCTGACGTTAACAGGGTTTAATTCTTAACTTTAACTGCTTCCCGGTGGGATTGGGCTACGTTTTGCGCCAAGTGGATTGGCTGCTTGATACCAGAGAGAGATGATAGACTGCTAGTTACCACTACCATCTTCGTGCTGACATTGAATGTCATTGACTCGAAAGGAAGTCGTGCTTCCACTGGGGGGAAGTTGAGGCAGCTTTTAGTTTAATGGACCGAAGCATTTTCTGGTTGGTAGAGCTACAGGCATCTCTTTGGGCTAGCGAAGCCTGGTCCAGTCGAACCCCCTTCCAGGCAGTAGTGCTTTGGTGTCTTTCCTTTTGCCTTGTTTTGTTTTTTTATATGTTGCCCTTTGTGAAGTACAAAACTGGCCATCCCCTAGAACATGATAAACGAGTATCATCAAGCATCCTGGTTGGGACCTCCGCGCTCTTTTTTTTTTTTGTCCAATTCGTTTCGTCAGCTGGTGTTTCCTCCGTTTCCTATTTTCTAACTCCGTGACATTGTACTGCAGTCAAATCATGCGGCGTAGGCTATTTATCATGTTTTGGGTTAGAATTGGAAGACAGTGTATGCTAATGTTTTATTTACGTAACGCATCTAAAGCGCTTAAATTCGTCCAATTGGCAAATGTCATTAAGCTAAGCGTACAATTCGAGTGAATGCAGTGTATCCAATCACGATCTCATGTGTTCCTCTTTCACGGTCCTCCTCGTATGCTTTGTCGCTTTAAACGGCGCCTAGCATTATCCATCTGCTTTCATTTTGTACGATCCGATTCAACGTGTCTGTCATTCTACTCGAACGCAATGGCCGTGGCCGTGGGTCGTCTCATAGCTGGCGGTTAGAAAATTTGCTTGATTTCTGTGTTGCGTGGTCTTGCCATGATAATGAAAAACTGGGATACGCAAACTCGATCTACTCCTACGCTTCGTCTGTTTCCAAGGATGGCAATTTTTGTGCTCTCTCAAGAAGAGAGACTTTCTAGTGCCAAGGAAAGAGCGAGCGGAAGTCGTGTGATCAGATGGTTCTTCAACTTGGCGACTCGTCCAAGATGGTTGTCCAACCGATGTAGCCTCATTTAAGAGAAAAAAATACTCTTAGGTGCTGCTTTCTTTTAAGATGTTGTGGCCACGATGAATTAATAACGCATTCGTTTTTACAATGTGAAACAGCCAAAAGGGTGTAGAGAACATTGACATTAGGCATTTAGATTTCGATTCTGACACTGGAACAGCCATTTTCGCAATGGTCACAGAACTTCTCCCCTTGTCAATGATCTCGATGGCCACAATCCTATCGGGATTTGGGAGAGTAAGTAATCCCCACCACCAAATGGGTAGATGGTAATATAAATGGACGACATGACATGGGCATCGACCAAACTTTCAGCATCCGCGCATGAACACCAAATTCAGTTGAGAGCCACTCGACATCTTTTCTCCCAACTTTCAATCATTTATGCTCGCGTCTGTGGCTTCTATGTAGGACGGACTGAGCAGGTCTCTCGTTAAATTGGTCTTCTTTTTTTTTTGCTTTTTCTGATTAGATTTCCCATACCGGAGCAACTAGTTGTTTTTAACCCCCAATTTTCTCTAGAAGTAATAGCACTAGTACTAGATTTTTATTTTTAAGTAAAGGAAGGTCTCGCATGCATGCATCGAAATTCATTCTTTCCTTCAGAACTGTGTTGAGAATTCTAAATGGGAGATACAAGCTCTGATTAAACCAAGTCCAAGAACACAGCTCAAAAAGGCACAAGCACAGAACCAACTGCGAATCAGGACAGTAGAGAACCGCAGTAGTAAAAGGGAAGTATTTTGCGCGGTAGGTTGGCCGCCATCCGAAGAGGTGCTAACGCGTTAGATTTAAATATAAATAAATCCTGCGTCGTCAATAATATCCAATGAAAAAATGAAATTGTCACCCGAGAAAATGCTTTACATAAAGGTAAAGGTAAGCAGCTGTTTGATGCATTTCCTCGGTTTTCTTTTTGCATTATACATGAGAGAATCTTTTACAGTTTGCACGATTTACAACAGAGTCCATATAAGTTTACAACAGAGTCCAACCATTCATTCGCCTTTACGATGCGCACGCAGGGATGTTTCGGAGGTGGACGACAATACTTGCGCTGTCGGAGCAGCCGATTCACAAGCATGTAGCATGGTGCATATGTCCTTTGTTTCCAGAAACTGCTCAGCGTTTACAAGGATCACAGGAACATATTCAAAGACCATTCTCTTGCACTGCCAAATATAAGTACAAGGACGATCATCAGAAAGGTAAACATAGATAAAGATGTACTTCAGAAACAACAATAATGCTCGGACTGAATTTGATGGACGGAATTTGATGATTATCACGTCAAAACAAATAAAAAATTTGTAACCCACTCAATTGTCTCCATTTGACTGGTGATAAACTAGACCAATAACTATCTTGCCTATGGTGCTGTCAATCACATTGTGACACATAAAAGTAGCAGAAACTGTTTAGCAATTCAAAAGTATCCCAAACAATCGTGTAGCATAGAGAGTGCTGATAAGAGCAGCTAAAGAAGAAAAGACAGAAGATGCTATTCTGCATTAGTGCTCTGTAGCATCAAAGCACTTCAAATCATGGCAACCCAAGAAATGCATGTGTCAACTTTCTTCAGCGCAAATACTTAACTCGCTCATACCTTGTTCACATGACCCTGTACGGCATCGCATGCCTTCAGAAGCGCCTCAACTATTTCTAACTGAATCGTCAGAACAGCAAAAGTTAGACAGCAATTTTAAAAGAAACACAGATAAGGTGCAGCACAAATTGTTGAGACATGCTGCATCTTAGACCAACAGCAACAAGTAGATTGAGTTCAAGGATCAAGAAAAATGACTCAGTTTGTGGAAAAGTATACCTGAGTGTCTGGATCTTTCAATTTGTTATGGCCTCTGACACAACAGTATGGCATAATTCACAGCTATTCTTAGAGAGAGACTGTGAGATTGAAAAATGTCTTCACAAAGATCAACCTTTTGGCAGAAATCCTTGGGTTGTACTGATGAAATCTCTAAGAAGAAGAGAGGAGCATAATAATCCACCAATGAGGTGCACTGCAGCATTAAAATTCAAAAATGTATGAAACCAGAAAACTTGAATTCCAGGATGAGAGAAACAGCAAGGCAATGAGCATAAGAAACAGTTTAACAACATGACAATAAATTTATCTGCATTTTTTGAGTTTTGCCTAGGTCTTCCATAGTGGCTGTCTGGAGTAAGTTATGCACCTTAAAGCCTTCAACTTGCACAGAGGACAAGCAACTATGGGGTGCGAGTAAAATCTATAGAATTGCTATTTTTTTAAAATCTAAAATAAACAAAGCCTCCCCAAATGTCCGTCAGACAATCTTGACTCCAAATAATTCGTGAGATCTTAAATTATACATGAAAGCCTACGTAAGCAAAAGTCTTTAAGTGTGGTCTTAGGTATGTGCTCACCTGCTGCTTGAAAGTATGCATCTTAGAGCATGTCTATAAAGGATCTCGAGGATTTCTGTTTGAGTTTTGTTGTTAGCAAAGTAATTAACTGCCTCAACAGCAAACTCTTCACATAACATGCAAACTTGGTCATTCTGATCAAATCCATCTGCAGTTTGAACTTCTTTGTTTGGCTGCTGGCCATTAAGTTGAAAATCTGCAAAAAGAAAGCAAGCATAAGTAAGTTAGTAACTCCACTTTTCTATTTTGGTTATAAATTACTTCCACCTTTAACTGACAAAAGCCATACCAAATACAAGCCAAAAAGGAAACTGCTTAAAAAGACCATTAAGCAATGTGTCGGAATTGACAAAAGTTATCAAGTTGTATGAACAATAAACTCAGCGACAACACATTTAACAAAGAAATAACTTTTTCACAAACTGCACACTTTCATGTTCACATTCTTCAGTGCTAATAGAAGCAGTAGCTTTTTGAAGTACCTGAAGCAATGCCACTTTGACTGGGAAGAGATTAGTGGTTACAATTCTCTAGCATTAGCGCCCCAGCAATTGCTCAGAAGAAAAAGAAAGAAGGGAACCCAGACATCCATTTTACCAATACCGAAAAATGTCGAATTAAAATAAGAGACAAAAGATAGTAAGAGATATCCAACAACTGGGAAGACAACCATAGCCGCAAAAAGAAAGTATAACATATCAATCAAATGAGCAAGGCCACTTTTGTTGTGGTTAAACTAATCAAAACCACAGAAATTGGGAATGCACTTCAAAGAATGCATATAAGGCAGTTCCAGCAATCACGAGCTCGAAAGCTAGATACTAGGTGAAATTGACTGACCCCTCAACTTTAGTGCAAATTGTGAGGAAGAATACGCTCTTTTTTTTTTTTTCTTTTGTTTATTCCTAGATTTTACATAAGATGGTATGGCGTCATGGATGGAGGGGGAAGGAGTAATCTATTGGAGCCCAGATGATCCCAACAGGAAATACGTGGGTCGGAGTGTTTTATGATGGTAAAGCTGCTGCAATAAAAATATCGAGACAATGATTCGTGAATTATTTATTTATTTATTTACCTGAAACAGGTTAGAGAGCAGGAATAAAACCCAAAAACAAGCGAGCAGAAGCAATTCATTCACGATTAATAAACTTAAAGGGGAGAAAAAAAAAAAAAAAAAAAGAAGAAGCATGGAAATAAGTAGTAATCAAAGATACGAAAATCCAGTTGAACCTTTAATCGTTCACGAAATAAAGGAATGAAATCCGCTAGCCCTAGAAAACCAATTACTCCTACTAAAGCATAATTCAACGCGTCAAGTCAAGTCAAGAGCACATCGTAAGATGATCATGAAGAACCATAACAGATAATTGAGTTATGAGACGAGAAGAAGATAATAGGGGTACATTTACCTGAATTCTTGCAGAAGATTTGATGAATACAATACAATTGCAGAGGCGGAAAGACTAGAGAGAAGAAGGGCCCTTAATAGAGTACTAATACCCCAATGAGGCCATCTCCTCCCCCGCTAAGCAATTATGATGATTGGGTGTTTTTCAGAAGTAATTTTGACTTTTGTATCAGACCGAAGATGGTTGGCTTGGTGTGAGTGGTTGGAATAAGATGTGGGGCCTAGTGCGTGGCATGGGCGTTCTACTACTCTATTTACTACTGGCGATCCAAACCCTATTTAGAGCTACCTACTTACTTGATACTACAATGGACGGCATTTTCATCGGTCGAGATCGACTCAACCCGGTTTGGGCTGATGATTTAAAATGGAATTCAATTTGAATACTCGAGATTAGGTTGAGATCGACAGAACCATTAAAAGCGCCTCTATGATTACAACCTCCGATGATGCACCGCAAAAGATTTACATTCATACCATACGATTCAAACATGAAATCAATTCGACAAGGAAAACAAAAATCCTGCTCGCTGCATCTTCCTCCTCCGAATTTCAAAAGCAGGGGAAAGCCAGGCAGACAAATTCACAAACATGATGGCAAACTAAAAACACAACAAAAATTGGGCGTCGTCATTCCTCAAATACACCATTTCCAATATGATAGTGGAAACCAACCACACGTAATCACCACCCACAAAACTATAGAAGGACTTTTCTCAATTCATTTAGTAACAAACATTCTTCAATGAATACGTAGGATGACTTTGCTGGTAGTGGTGGCCAGGCTAAATCCGCACCCTCAAAGATGATTACCAACCCTTAAACCGGAAACCAGATTTACATATGCTTAAAAACATATAGACTTGCACACAAGAAACTCCCAATCATTTGGAAGTCACACCTAAGCATATCCCCCAAAACAGCACACTGCAAATGAAATCCTAGAAAGCTTAGTTCCGACTCAGGAGGATAATTTACACACTAAGTAATTGTAGTAGTAGTTGTCGACAGCAGCACTATTAAGGGGGAAATATGGATTTTACCCTAAACAGAGAGACAACAGCATTATACAAGTTGTTAGCTACTGATCCCAGATTCAGCTCCCCTGATACTCTACTCCCTAAGCCACGTTGAAGTTGCACTTCGTTTCTTCTTTTTCTTACCCTCCTTCGTCACGAGGAGTGAAATCCGAGCAAACCCGTACTTCTTTCTCTTTGCCGGGAGTTGCTTCGCATTTTCGGCCCCCCCTTTGGTAGCAAAATTCTTATCACCATAGTGTTTCCCAAGCATTTGGGCCAGTGACACCTTACGCTTCCCAACATTCTTATCTCCCTGCATTCCGTTCTCAAATTCCTCAGTCAAAAGCAGCTTCCTGCTCAGTATTTGACCAATAGATAACGTTGGCTTCAGGACTGGCTTTAGCTCATCGTTTACCATATTGATACCATTTACATCCAGCAGACTAGAATCTTTGCGGAGATGAGATGGGCAAGCGTTTTTGAACTTGGTCGAGTTGTGAACAGGGCGCCTTTTCTGGCCCCGTTCAGATCTCCATTTTCGCAGAGCCTCTTCAACTGCCAGTTTGCCTCTATTTGCACTCTCTACCCTGCTCAGTGCTTCCTCCAAGGCCTTCTTGCTACTTTTCACTTCTTCTGTAGCTTCCTCTACCTTCTTGAGGATTTCAGCTTTTGATACATTAGCTTCGTCCACTAGAGGCACTGCATCTACCAATCTCTTCTGACAAGCTGCCTCAGCTTCACGAGCTTTTGACTTTAGTGAAGCGTATTCCTCACAGGTAATAGTTAAAACTTCAGGCTTTTGCTGTAAACCAGAACGAGCAGTCTCAGTGTTAGACAGTGCTCTAATCTCTGCAAGAGCAACAGCTTCAGATGCTCTAGCCGCTTCCTTCATTTTCTTAGCAGCCACTAGCCTGATCTCAGTAGTCTTGATCCGAATCTTTGCCTGTTTAATCTCAGACATCGCTCTCGAGACCTCTGATCTCGCAGCTTCTCCAACTTTCTTAAACTCTTCTGTCTCAGAGGTCAACCGTTGGATTTCCTTTGCCATATTCATGGTTTCATCACAACTGACCCTACCTTGATCGGCGCATTTCACCAGCTGTAGCTTATCTTTTGTTTGGTTCACCTCCGTTTCAAGAGATGAAATTTTTACAGTATTTGATGACAGCCTTTGACGAGTCTTCTCGAGTGAGATTCTCTCCTTCTCAATTTTTCTGTTATATGATTCAACTGTGGCTCGAATCTCTGCAAGATCAGTCGTTGTCCTGGTTAGGTTTAACTTGGCCTGTTTCAGCTCCAATAAGATAAAACCTGGAGCAGATGAGGGACAGAGGTCTAAACCGCTGTTAGCACTCTGATGGCTATCCGCCTCTGCTGCTTCAACAGGATTTACATCCTTGTCATTGAGGGTTGAACATACTGCAGAAGTTTCTTTCTGCAGGTTTGCCTTCAATTCTTCCACAACCATTTTAGTGGCCTCCAGTTCTTTTAAAACATCAAAAGTTTCCCTTTCTTTCATGACAAGATCTCTTTCCAACTGCGCAGCTTGTTCCTCCAAGTGTGTGATGTCCATGAGTTCATTGCCATGCTGCAAAACACCTCATAAAGTCAGCTATATAAAAGATTTGACACCAAAAGAAGAGCACAAAAGTAGCACCTACAAAGTATCAGCACCACTTCTTCCCTGTCCCCATCCCCCACACACACACCCCCCCCCCTCCAAAACCCAAAAAAACAATTTTCTTCCAATGATAGATTTTGTTGCGGTTTCAAAGGTATATTGTTGCATCATGTATGGCTGCACCATTTTTTTTTTTTTTTGGGGCGCATATATCTCAAGGAAAAACTCTGCAAGATAGGAAGTTCGTCACATTCTGCTGTAACGTATTTCAGCGTTGAGGTTCTTTAGCCTAGGTTGTGCATAAATAGTCAACCCCTTGATGACATTTGAAAAGAACATCCCACGCAGAAAAGGTAAATTAGACATGTAGCAAGATTGAGCCCAAATAATAGCAACAAAACTAATTTTTAGGTTAACCATTTTACAAATCTAGATCTTTAAAATCAAAGCGTACGCACGAAATTGAACAATTGTGCAAGTGACATTCAAGAAAGATTTAATGCCTCACTTCTCTCAAGTCTCGACTACGTGATATAGACTCTTAATGGAGTTTAAAGTTCGATAAGATATACTCTAATTTATCATCAATCGTAAGCTGAAAGGCAGAAAATACCAAGCAAGGATTGGCTAAACACGATAATATATACCGTTGTAAAGAGCTACTGCCCGAGAAGCAAAATCCCATCAACCAAAAATTTCTGTTTTTCACAGCTAATAAGCTAAGTGCAAAAATGCACACTCGTATCGTAGGAGGAGTTTCTTTTTTTTTTTTTTTTCTTTTAAATGCAGCGGCAGAAAAATTGGCATGGAATCTTTTTTAGAACGTCAAGAAAAAAAAAAAAACCTCAGACACCACGCAAAAACGGAGAGACGAAAAGAGATAAACCTCAGAAGAGGAAGAAGAGGGCTTGGGGTTCTGGGAAGACGGTTTCCAGAAGCCCATTCCCCCGAATCGGGATGCGGCCTCCCTCACGGACTCGAAGGGTGCAGAGGTGTCGATCTCCGCCCGCACAGCGCCCTTGTCCTCCCCCTCATCCGGAGAATCCAGGAGGATATGGGTGGCGGGCGCCATTGTAGGAGAGGAATCGAAGCCCTCGGGATGATGATGGAAGGCTTCGGAAGCACCCTGACTAACTCCACCTAGGGCGGCCATTGTTAACTGTAGAGGAAGTAGCACTGACAAAAGCAACAAAACCAAAACCCAAACTTAAACTTCGTCGCGTCTCTCTCAGTCTCAATCAAAGTTAGAAATGGAATGAACCAAATAGGACACAGTACTGTGGGTTGGTACAGGGCAATGCGGCAACGATTTTGACGAGTGTAATTCGGGCAGTAGGAACAAGAAGTGAAGTGGTAACAGCTAGTCTGTGGTAAACTTGAAAGAAAAAAAGCAACTTTTACCGTGCTCGTTCTGTACTGGCAGCGTATAAATAGATAGAGGTGAGAGAAAGGACTGACGAGAGAGTGAGCGGAGGAAGAGTAACGTCTTTGGAGACAGACAGACAGACAGCAGTGTTGTTCGTTGGTACTCCATTTTTATTTAAATAAAGGATTTCCATTACTTTCTTTTAAACAGAAGGCGAGGGCTTTTGTAACGTTTGGATTTTTCAGAGCCAACTCCA